GCGGCCGCCGTGAAGAAGCGGCCCTTCTTCTGGCCTTCCTCCGAGGACAAGGTTCTTCCCATGATCTCTCTGTGCATGCGTATACATATTTGTCTCTTCTATGTCTTTGCCTATCGAATTAGTCCGAAATATTATAAATTTTCGAGTTATTTGATCCGCGTCAACTTATGGTTTGGGCGGCACGGTTATTCCATTTCGAGTTTCGTGGAATTTGCCGTATCTTATTTTGCATTGACACCTAAAGCCAAAATGATGGCACTAAAAGCTCGATTTTGATGCTTGTTTTCCATGCCTCGCTTCCACCTAAACCGTTTCGGATGTTGCTGGCTTGCTGTTTTGTATCTTCTCCTCTGATATGGGTTTTTAGCGTCTCAAACACTTACTTCAGAAAGTTAATTGCATTTGCTGCTTTTTCCTTTGAAAGTTATACCTGGTACTGATTTGGAAGAGGAGTTATGCACCTTAATGATTTGTTTCCTCTTCATAGCTTGGTACTGCAGTTCTTCAGTTCCAAAATTCGAAGCTGTCTCAAAAGTTAGAGGCTCAACGAGTTGAATGCTCTGTTCTTGACGATAGACTTTCTCAGACCAAGGAAAAACAGTGGCCATACAAGTCCACATTGAAAACGGTCCGAAAGTCTTGGGGAGGGGTAATGCTTGTTATGTTTTTAATCTGATGTGTTTTCCTTTAACGCTTGTGTCAAATCCCCCAACCATCACAAAGTTCAGTCGATAAGTAGAGGTTCTCTTTCGCCTTACTGGGCGTATGAAATTCTAACTGATGTCTTCCTAATGGCTTATAACTGCCATGGAATCATGCTCTTTTCGCGTGACAATGACATGCACTGTTGGTGACTGACAAAGATCAGAAGGAAACTCTGGTTCGAGGGTAGCCAAGTGACATGCACTCTATCATAGACTGAAGAGTTTGTGTAGTCCTGGTATCTGTGCGTCAGAATATTGATTTCCTTCTGTGTGCCCAAAAGAGGTATACATACTGTTCTGTTGCCACTCTTTGTAGATTTCTCTGGAATGCTCAGACGTTTGTTTGTTGTTTATTAGATTGTTTGTTAATTATCGTCTTTAATTCTTCCTAGTCAATTGATTTAGTTCCTCGCATAACTTTTGAGCCCACTTGATGAAGAGGGAGAGGTGTTTTCTCTGAAAATTCTCTGCCAGTGTCACCTGTTTCTAATGATCTTGGTTGCCGTGTATGGATTAGCCAATGGTGAATGTTGATCTTGTCTTCTTGAACTAGGTTGTAATCACAAAGTGCTACCATTTGTTCTGCAATCAATGCGTGCAAAAGATCACAGCTAGTCGGCAAAAGGAGTGCCCAACATGCTCAGCAAGTTTTGGACACAATGATGTTAAACCAATCTACATATGATGCAGAATAGGTGCAGTGTTCTGCTTAACCGCATGTCCTTCATGCCTGTGCTGCGTCTGCATCGGGTAGTGGCCAATGCTTTGAACTATGAAGCCACGTTGTTGTGTAGTTTCATGCCCGATGACTTGCTGGAAACTCTCAGCCCCTTCAGGCCATTTTAAAACGTGGTAACAACAGTTAAGGCCGGTCTGGATCCGGCCAGTAAACTCCACATCCACATTACGAAACACACAGAGGAATTGCTGAAACGGTTTTACTCTTGTGGAGGTGTATATCATTTGGTATTCCATCTTTGAATAACTTGGAACCACAGGGAATTCCTTGCAGATCAATGGAGGTGTTTTAGAATCTTAGATCTCATGTAATTAGTAGAAACTCTTCTGTGGTTCATGCAGAAACGGAAGAAGAGTACGGGGTAATACGCTTTCGGTGTGAAGGGTATGGCTCTTTGGCGTCAGAGATAAAGGTCAGATTATTTAGTTTACACGTTTTTCTTGAGATCTTTTGATGGGTATTAGTTGCAATACTTAGGGCTGCGTTCTTTATGGCTGGATTTGGTTCTGTTTTCCGCTATGGATGGGTTTCTGGATTTCAAGCCTCCGCACATGTTCTTCGTTTAGTGGTGTTGCTTTTTGATTTTTCGTCTTTCTCCTCGCTTCCTTTTCTTTTTGTTCGCCATCTTTATTCCCAGGGATAAAAGATCACGTGTTGTTTTAGCCGAGTCATCTCACTCGTCCTTGTTATATCTGATAAGTTATGTTTCTAACATAAATCACTTTTCCCCTTGTTTTTTTGCGTAGAAAGCCCATAAAATATGACTACGAAATGCGTAGAGAGAAAGACCCATGACTCGCGTCTCTTTAAGCTCATTCGTGCATTTTTAATTTTTATTTTAATAATTTTTGCATTTTAGTATCTCGACTTCATTTGGATTATGTTTATTATCTTAATTTTTTGTTGACAAATTTCTAATAAAAATTGCCAATGCAACAGATCGGAATTGACATATTATCACTTTAGAGATGTATTGAAAATTAACGAGATATTTTAGTATCTTTTTTTTATTTATTTAGATGTATACTTTAAACTTTACTTTTTTTTACGATATTGTTTGTTTTTTTTAATAATTTTATGACAAGTCAACTTCCTCATGTTATCTTAGACATTTTCGTCTAAAAAATCGAAATATTAAAATATACTAAAATTTGAGATATTATAACATACAAAAAAAATAATATTTAGTTGTTAAAATATGCAGAGGATAATAGTTAGGGTGTTAAGAATATATTTATCCAATATTTGAGCTTTTGCAAATTAACTGTTAATTATGCCAACATAATCAGTTACTGTCTTAAATATTTGTTATATATATATGTATATACACACACACACATTTACGGCCCCATTAATTATTACAATTAATCAACAAAGAAAAAGAGATTAAAGACAAATGATGATTAGGTACTTGTGGAGTACCTAATACCGGATGGACACTTTTCTACTAATCATTTTGGCTGCTAGTGGGCGGGGAGAATGATGTCTTGCAATTAGATATGGAGAGGCTCCTGCACTTAAAATCATTATCCCATTGAAAAACTCTACTCTACACACATATATGTTGCGATAATGATCGTGAGATCACTAACGCACCCACTATATTCCTTAGTGGCCTCAACTATCCCAAGCCCTCCAATAACAGTAACAATGTCAATGCGTATGCCCATGGATGAATTGCCTACAAGTGATTGATTATCCACATGGGAATGTTGTACCGATTTTCAAGGACAAGTGTAAATACACAATCTTTTTCGGAGTTTTGAAAACGTAAATCCAAACCCATAATGATTCGGAGAAAAAAAAGGGCAGTTGAAAACGAAACTTGATCGAGAAATTTTGCCGACGGAACAGAAGATTCTATCATCCTTTTCATAAACCAATGGAGGAAGAGATTAGCTTTGTTTGTGGTAATATCGTATGTTGTCACTCTCATATTTGGGTCCAATGTGTTTTCGGAATCCATAACAGTCCATCTTTTGCCTCGTGAAATGGTGAATAAAGCAATCCCTAGACACATTATAATATATATATATATACACATACTGTCACTCTCATATATATGTACACATTAAAGGAGATAGGTCGCATTTTAAAAAAAGTATAAAAGGAAAGAGAGAATAACAAAAGTAAAAGTTAGTAAAAAAAAAAAAGATCCAAAGACATCATCACCATGTGAGTCATCATGTTATTTCCCAAAACCCTCAAAATTATATATATATTTTTTTATAAAGGGGAATTTGCTCAAAAGCTTGTCTCCCCCCTTCACTGTCAAAATTGCAATTATAGTCTCATCAAAACGCGTACACCATGTATGACGCATTTTTGTGGTGGCACCAACCCGTCATGCTATTGCTAGGTCTAAACATTAGCCTATAACGTGAAATGCATATATATATGCTTCCTCGAAATATTATTTCATACGTTCGTCTAATAAACCCAAATTTACTATAAGAAGGGCTTAAACTGAAAACAATAAATAAACAAATATCTATTAATGGGATAATGTACTTTAGCTATTACTATTTTAAGATTTTTTTCTTAGTTAACTACAATTAATTAACGGTTGAAAAAGTGGTGACAGCGGATAAGACGAGACGTTGCATTATATGTCTTGCAATTGCAGGGATGCTCTTGCTCCAAAGTCAAACTACGGCCTGATTCATGAAACTCTACAATTTTTGGGTCCAAAAAGCAAAAAAGGAAACAATCTAATAACATATATGATTCGAGAGATCAAACATCGGGTCTTTATTTTGTATTCTTCCCTTTGGTAGACCGACTTCCACAACACATATATATACATATATATATATATATATTACATTGACGTTAATTTTAAACACCCTTTTTAAAAAGGAAAATAATCAAAATTCCCGCATTTCTTCACACCAAAAGCCAAATAAAAAACCAAAAAAAAAAAAAGTGAATTTGGAATTTAGTAGTGTTAGTGTGGGGGTATTTCAGTCATTCTGCCATAAGAATGGCTCCTCCAGCCGAAACACCGAGTCGGCCGCACAAAGCTGCCACGTGGATGAGTAGGAGTAGCAAAACGCGTCGTTTCGAGTCGACCCGTCAGTGAAAAGATCCGGCAAGTCAAAGAGCGTGTCCTCTTCGCTGTCCTTGTCCGCACTCGAAGCCGACGAAGTCACCGACGAATCCCGCGTCATCATGTCCGAAGAAACCAAACTGCTCGACGACCGAGCCGCAGATATCTCGGCCCTACTTGTCTCGGATTCCCCCGAATCATCACTGCCCATCGTACGATCATCAGCAGTTGGCGTGAGATCGTGCCACGTGGCGGCGGCCTTGGCGGCGGCTGCTTGGATGTCTTTAGGGGAAGTGGTCGCCGGACGGGGAAGCTCTCCGGACAATTTGGGGAAATTGAGGTAAGCCGTGGAGCCTTTAATGGCTAAAGCGGCCACGTCGTGGGCTCGAGCCGCCATCTCCGCCGTCCGGTAAGTACCGAGCCAGATTCTTGATTTTTTCCTCGGCTGTCTGATCTCCGACACCCACTTGCCCCAGCTTCTCATCCGTACTCCTCTGTACGTTGGATGCTTATCACCACTACCATTGTCATTGTTCTTGTGCCGTTTCTTGGCGCCATTGTTGTCGTCTGGAGCTTTTCTTGATGCCCTTGCTTTAGAATTGTCTACGGTGCAAGTTTCGAGAGAAAACGAAGTGGAAGAACAAGAAGAGGATGGAGACAAAGACGAAGAAGAAGCCGAGGTCGTATTGACAAGGAAAGTATTGTCTTGAAGAGCACTCCTCTCTATGTTGATATGTTTTTCCATTTTGAGAGAGAGAGAGAGAGAGAGATGGAGGAGTATTGGAGTACAAGAATAGAGGTGAAGTGGGTTTCTATTAATATTCCTCCATTATAATATGAAAATACATTTTTCCCCATTATTTTGTTGATTTTTGGGTGATGGAGGGAGGGGGGGATGGGGTCCACGGAACAAATATATCAGACTACAGTTCAGCACTTCAGCGATCCAGTTTACCCCATATGAAAAATTAAAATTTAATATATACATACAGAGATGTACATACATGTATTCGTAGATGCAAAAAGCAAACCACCAAAACTCGAACAATAATTGCATGGTTCTCGTTGAAATTTTCCTTTTACTCTCTCGTCTCGTGCATGTGATTGCGCGTCACCTCTCTAACACATGAATTGTCGTCTTCTGCGCTTTGGATGATCCTTACGTCATAAATATAAATTGGCATCTTTTTGTAAGTGGTTTTATTTAATTCTAGGATCAGGATAGACTTGGTAAATATCAATCATCTTCTGCTTATAAAAATCTCGACATGCGTTGCAAACATATATAATATTAATTTACACATCACGTTTACGTACAAATAAATCATAATACAGATTTGTGTATAAATAAATTCACGTCGGCCATTATCGAATAATGAATTTCCACATGGGTCAAATAAATTAGAAAACAAACAAAAAATATTTTCGTTTCTTTTTTTTTTTTCACCACGAGACACGACTTGGCCCCTCTTTCAATATATGAAAACAAAAATTTTAAAAAGATATCGAGAAAACCGTATCACATTTATAATCAAATGACCACACTTCTTCCATGCCAAGAAGCTTGTTGTTAAGTGTTTAGCATTAAATAAAACGTACATACAAGCAAAAATGTGTTACGGGTTAATCTATATCATGTGTGTGTAAATGCATTGACGTCGCAGTTGATAGTCTTTTACCACTCGGGACCATTAGAAAAACCAACTTTATTGGTATTGTTATTGACATCTTAATAAATATAACCTCTGCTTGCATTTAAATATTTTTGCCCCATCTGTTTTCTACGAACTCATTGAACAACTGACTCTCTCTCTCTCTCTCTCTCTCTCTCTCTCTGTATATATATATATATATAAGTTTGAAGCAAATTGATTGTCCACTGGCTATTGTTTATTTAGATTCTTATAATCGATTGAAACGATATTTTGACTCAACAGCTGCGCTGATTGCAGTTCCCGTGTTGTATTATAGTATCAAATCAGAGAAAAGAATGATATAACTGATCAACTCTTTCCTGATTTAGATCTTATTCATGTCATATATTCAATTAATTAATTATGATGATTTGATCCGTAATCGATTATATAGCAAAGACATATCGGCATATGATATTTCATGAGGAGAAACCAAAAGGGGAAACCCGAGGCATTGCCTCGGCTATAATTTCATTTTTTTTTTAAAATGAAGGATGAAAATCTGATGGGAAAGGGTGTAATTGACCATAGATTCATATAATGCAGACCGACAAATAGCAAAGTCGAAAGTGGAAACACGGCTGTTTGGAGGGGAAGAAGACAACACTACACGCAATATAACACGTGACACGAAAAATTTCACACTAACATATAATTTTATAATTGACACCCATTTTATGGTGCGTGTATATTAGAATTTAAATTCATTCCGTAACAATAATAACAATAACAATAGCAACACAAAAAAAAAATATTATTTACAACAAAAGAGTCGATAGATGTACAATGGAGTAATAATATACAAAGGAAGATATTTTGGAATAAAAATAAAGATGATTAAAAAAGCGGGGATTTAATGTCTGTACGTCAAATGTGAAGGTGGAGGGGACACATGGCGGACATGCCACTCGTTTCCACTTAGTCTTACTTTTTCCTCACTCTTTTTTTTTTCAAAATCAAAATTAATAGCGATAAAGAAAATACATTTGCCATGAGAAAACGAATGGTCCCGATCTCTTGGACCAACGTAATCGTACGGATGGCATCTTTATAGTGTGCGTGTGTGTGTATATACACAACACATTCGGCATCTCTATTGTCTATACGAAGAATCCAAAGTTAAAGAATCGAGTTAAATCGCCAATTTTTTCATGCAAAGCCTTTCTAAATTTTAAATCCCATATATATAAGTTTTATTTTGAATTATACATTTATTATGATACAGATAAGTGTAGTTTTTATTTTATTTAGATTCTTTCTTATATTAAGAATTATATTACAAAATTTACGATATATATATGTATACCATTTGAGAAATAAAATATAAAAGATAATTAATATTTTTATAAATTTGTAACAATAATACGATTGAAATTTAGTAAAAGAAAATAATCTAATACGAGAATGGGCATTAATGAGTTGCACAGATGGACCGGATAAAAATAAAATGATTCAATCATCCCGTGGGCCCATGCCACGTGTACGGCCGTTGTGACATAGGCGCTGAAGGGAGAGACTTCCGATATGTGATGCAAGGGTGTGCGTATTTATACAATAATTAGGATAAATAACACAGAACCAATTTAATTATGGGATTGTAATTGCACCGTACATTTAAGTCAAATGTGGCCCTAAATCTACAGGGGCCTATATATATTATATGTATCCGTATATGTATACATATATAATAAAACCATATAACATGAGAATGGCATTATTTTAGCGGTCGATTTCATAACGGGGGGACCTGCGTTGGTTTGGCTCCTTAAATATGCTTGTCCCCTTCGTCCTTTGCGTTCATTCATTTCTCTCTTCCTTTCCCCACCAAACTTGGGAAATTTTTTGAAATCAATCTCTTCCGAATTCATCATTTTTGTTCAATTCATGCATATATACGTAATAGATTATATAAAATTTTATATTACTAAAAAAGAGCATAATCCTTAGTGTAGTTTCCTACGCCCTATGATTTGAGGAATTCTCGTGGAAACTAGAAATAATGTGCAAATTAGAAATCTTAATTGCATATACTTGCCTATGCCGACGAAAATACAATATTTTATACCATGGGCAGATACTGCCCAAAGTTCGCTGAATGGTAACATTTTGGGCCACACCAAATCTGACCCTCCAAATCTTGCTTTTGGTCCGACTGAATATTATATCATAATAATAATAATAATAATAATAATAATACACCTGCATGTCCATGTCTAATTAAGTCTCGTCGACGCGGTCAAAAAGAGCCTAATGATAGGGCTTTAGTTTAAACTTAACGCTTCGCACTGATGATGATATGCGTTCCCTAAAGTCTAAACATACCGGATTATGAATATACAAAAACTATACTATATACAAGGTCTATATAACCTCAGCATAATTTAACAAAACTACGTTTAGTCTGTTGAAATCACTTGAGATAATATTAAAGACATGTTACATGAAATAAAATTAGACACAGATCAATCGTGTATCTTAGCAATCAAAATAAAAAGGGTGAATGATTACCAAAAAAATAAAATAAAAAGGTGGATTAGTGGACAGACCATTCAGATGCAAAATCCAATAATTTCATCGAGAGGAAAATGTTGGACATAGATGTACGTCGACATCATTTTGTATAAATTTGGTGGTGCCCTAAATCTTGACTTGTCTCCGTAATCTTAACAATATATATCATATTAAATTAAAATTTATGTATCGTGGTTCCGGATCCGGCGCTCCGATTCGAAAGGCAATGCGACCGTTATTATTATTATTATTATTCAATTTATAATGAAATTTAAACAACCGGGAGACCTGCAAATGTACCTGAGTTGGTTATAATTCTATATTCCACAATTTAGTAAGAATGAAATATAAATGATTTAAAACACAATCTTTTTGTAATAAATTGTCTTAGTTCCTTCTCCACAATAAAGTGGTATCCGCTTTCTGTAATTTTTGTTCAAAAAAGATTTGTACATTTTGGCGTCTCGTGTTTTTAATTCTAAATCTTACAAACCTCTTCATTGATATTATTGGGCTCTTATCTAAATATAATGCAATGTAAAGATAAGACGTACAAGTTCATAACTATAATAATTGTAGCGATCGATGATATTTTATTTTATACTTAATTTGTCATTACATGCTGAGAATCGGACATGTGTGCGTACGTTTTCGCCTGCACGGTTATTATTATGTTTGGTTGGGACTTTCTTTGTTCTTTTCTTCCTCCTGGAACCATCCCGTGTCTGAAATGCAAACACAGTCGCTTCGGTCCACGACAACTTGACACGTTTGCGACACTGGCCTCGATGCATGCATGTGGATGGATCTCAAGGTACTTGGGGTATGCAAGGACGGAGAAGGAAAGAATAGCCCGGGTAGCCATAGATATTTGAGTAGAAAACATTACCAGATATTCATTCACGATATGAAATATAAGTGTGTGTGTGTGTATATATATATAACATTCTCAATTATATCTGACATAGGTAACAGGAGATGATCTTATGGACAACCCGTGTTCAGAGCATGCGGTTCGTCGAGACCTCTTGTTGCTCGAGAACCAAATCCCTTACTTCATCCTCGAGAAACTGTACGATGCCGCGGCGGCCAAAGGGAAGTTGTCTGGTGACATGTCCTTACGCCAACTCGTCCTGAAGTTCTTCGATGTCCCAGCTGAGATCAATGAAAACACAAAGTTCAATCATTTCGCGGATTTCATGAGGTGCTTCTTCGTGGAGACCCTCGACCTCACGGAACACGAGCGGAAGAAGATTGAGGAAAAACGGCCCATCCGTCGCATTACGACAACTCAATGAACAGGTCATTCGCCAAACTCAGGAGCGTCTACTTCTCCGACCTTTGGACGGGGACAGCCGCTGTCGGCGCCACCATTCTCCTCCTCTTGACTCTCATTCAGACGGTGGCTTCGGTCATCCAGCTTTTTCAGAAAGGAACATAACAAGTCATTCGAGTCGAGGGGTGGACACAATGTAGCTGCTAACGGGCCTTCAAATAAAGCCCAATAGCCCAAACTTTGTTGCATGTTGGCTATCAAAATTATTTTAAAGTTGGCATGGACTAGTGCCTCGTATTATTTAAGTAATATACTTCAGCAATATGGGAAATAAACTTTCCTACATACGCTGAATTATAACAACAAGTTTTAAGTTTATTTCCAGTTAATATTCACTCACATCACCCACGAAACTTTCAACCATTTTCTTTTGGAGAATATCACGTTCAACTTGTTCACTGAAAATATTGTCTAACCTTTCATGGATACTATTAACGTGTAGAATTCAAGTTCCTTGTCAGCAACTTGGAACAAATTATGTGATGACCTCAGGTCAACGGTTTGGATTAGTCATTGAAATTAAACAATTAACAGGTTGGCTTATATGAAAATCTTTACTCGGCCAAGATATTAAATTGCCAAACGACGCTAATATATACCTAAATGCTCCATATCTTCCATCTATATAAACCCTAACAATTCAGAACCAGCATCAGCCTTATCAGACTTTATTGCATATATAAGATTCATTTCCCTTATTCCTGGTACGTAATCATATCTCTTTTAGTTTATCAACGTGTCTTTCTCACATGCATAATAACAACAATATGATTGTAATGATCGATGCCCCCTCGCCGGCTACGTCGCTTCCGCAAGTCTGTTATTCTTTTCCGTCCATCTCTCCCTCTGGAGGCGGCTAAATAACCGCCGCCGTCGGCTACACGTGCGGCGGTCAAATTTCTGTGGGGGGGTTTCGATCAATTCTATATTTCTCTGTTAGGTTTATTCATTACGTCTCGATTTTGCAAGGCATCTATTCCACTTTCTGTCTCGTTCTCCTCGTGAGATGACGATGTCCTGGCGCGAATGGTTTCTTGGGCATTTAGCTGATGATTTCAGTTTCTGACGACAAAGTATGCGGTGTATTGTTACCATAGAATGCATTGTTTCTCTTTTTCGTTGGCTAAGATTCTTATTTTCGTCTCATTTTGTCGATTATGCGCTCTCCGTTAATTTGGCGAATAGATACATGGCCGTTTTCTCTTTAATCTCTAGAAACCTATATATACTCTCCTATCCTTGATCTCCTTGTTTTGCTTGCATTTTCACCATCGCAGTCTCGATTTTTTTTTATCGGGCTTGATAATTAGTTACGTTATTTTATATACTATATCCAAGTTTTTTTTGAATAATCCGAAAGTTCACCGGATCTTTGACCCAACTACATCTTCCAGAGGATTGGGGAAGTCCAGATGAATGCTTCTCCCCACGCTTGGATTTGAACCCAGAATACGAGCATGCTTTGCATGTTCTCTTACCACTAGACCACCCAAACTTGGGTTACTATATGCAAGTTTGGTTATTGGTCGATTATAATTTGTATGATTGTAATCCAACTGAAGCGAAACGAGTTTAAATTTAGTTACATGTATATATATTTTACAGATGTAGCTGAACCAAACAGTTATTTAAACGAACCGAATAGATGCGATGAGCTGATCAAACATCAAATAGAGAATATATGATCATAAATTGTGATGCCAATGCAGGCCAGGTATCTGCACAAGTACATCGCATGGGGGAAATCGAAGAAGCAAGTACGAGCTCCAATGTGAATGGTGGGAAAAATAAGCCAAAGCTTCTGGGTAAAGCCCTCCATCTTCCTCCGTCTTCATCGGCACCGGCGGGTTTGAAGACATCTGAGCTCACAATCGAATATTGTTGCGTATACAGAGTGCCAACCCGGCTGAGAAGGGTGAACCCTGAAGCCTACACGCCTCAGATGCTCCTCCTCGGACCTCTTAACCATTCTTTAAAAGCTGAAGCAGCCACCAAAAGATCCTCCTCTGATGATCCAAGGTATACATTTATCTATCATCATTTTATTACTCTCTATGTATATTTGTACATTAACCTTTGAGGTATAAATAAGAAAATAAATAAAACAAACTATCCTAAATTAATGTTAACTACTCCCAATACGTCTCCTATCAACCCATCTTCCCTTAAGACTTAGATTTGATAATTTGACCATTTCAAATTATTAACAAAACATTATTTAAACATAAAATAAAATATTCCAATACAAGATTATTCTAACAGTATATACATATATGTATCCATGGTTTTATGTCGCCATGCATTAGAGTGTTCACGTTTTGCTGTCTTTAAGAGTTCGGAAGAAGTGACAATGCCTTTCTCATATACAATTCTTTATAATAACCGCATAAACTTTATATTAAGGTACTTGGACTATCTAAATATGGAGAGCCATAAGCGGAAGTATCTAGCGGAGTTCGCCCAACGTTATGGGGGAGCAATCGTTGAAGGTTTCAAGAGAAAGATACAAGAGGAGGAAAAGTTGATAAGGGCGAGCTATGCAGAATCAACCGAGTGGATCGAATCCAGCGAGTTCGTAGACATGATCCTCCACGACTCAGTTTTCATAATAGAATACCTCTTAAGACTCGGTCGCCATAATGACGCCACAAAAAAGACAGATGACATTCTTATTAACCAACCTTTTCTCCAAACCAACATCTGGGAGGATTTCATTTTGCTCGAAAACCAACTTCCTTATTTCATTCTCCGCAAAATGTTCGACCCTTTCGTGGAAACCCATGGTGATAGGAAAAAAACATTTCGTAAGCTCATCCTGGAATTTTTCAACGTCGAGAGTAAGATCAAGGACGCCACAGAGTTTAAGCATTTTTTAGATTTACTTCGGTGCGCACGCGTGGAGACGCTTCCCGAAAGGGTTCCGAAATCGGATGAGAAAGACGCAACCATCAGTCATATGTGCACGGCCGAGAAGTTAGACAGCGCAGGAGTAAAGTTTGAGGCAATAGACAATGAGTTATCATTGGAAGTCAAGTTCGAAAGGGGTCGCCTGAAAATACCTACTTTCTTCGCACAGGACAGTCTGGAGATCGAACTGAGGAACGTGATGGCGTTCGAGCAGTGCCACTACCCATACACATCGTACGTCTGCAACTACGTCTCATTCTTGGATTTCCTCATCGACACAGAAAAAGACGTCGACTTACTCATCGAGAAAGGTACTTCGCCTCCTCTTTATACATATATACCCGACATAGGATGAAAACATTCGGAGTAACCCCGATGGCATGCAACTAAGAAATCAAAATGCATGGTGCTTGATGCCATCTAAAATCAACAAGAACTGGACAGTTAATGCAAACTAAACTTATGTAATGCGATTTGTATCTTCCGTGTGATGCGTGTGTAAATAAAAGGAGTGATAAAGAACTGGATGGGGTACGGGGGTTCGGTAGTGGACATGGTGAACAAGCTCGTCTCGGGGGTCGTGGAGGAAAACTCATACTATTCCGACATAATCAAATCGCTCAACGATCACTACAAAAGCTCTTACAACAGGTCCTGCGCCATGCTCAGTCGCGTCTACTTCTCCGACCTGTGGAAAGGGACAGCCACTGTCGCCGCCGCCATTCTCCTCATCTTGACTCTCATTCAGACGGTGGCTTCGGTCATCCAGCTTTTTCAGACCGGAAAATAACAAGACAGAGTTTAATCTTCCTTTACGCAACTCAACTGTGTTCCGTTTGCTTACGTTTCTGTCTGTTTGTTAAGTTTGGTATTGTCAAGTGAGGTGCTCTGTTGTTGTTAATCTCTCTACGTTACGGGTATGTTATTACACTCTCATAATTATGCTTTTTTATTTTTATATCGTCAAGTATCATTCCAACTTAAAAATTTTATATTAATTAAATACAATATTTTGAGATTTTAATTTTCTATCTATAAATATATTAATATTTTATTTTAAATAATGAAAAATCCAACAAGTCTCCAAACGTTTCTATATCAATAATATATATATCGTCCGACAATTTAATTCGACGTAATAAAATCATACAACCGGAGTCGGATGAAAATCGAATTACAATTCCACAAAGCCCAGATTTGGCCCACGGTCCCAACTTAAGACTGCCTGACTTGGTCCTGGGCGTTTAAGTTCAACTTGGGCCGGTATCAGGAAAGGGTATTTATGTAATTACGGGTTGGAACTTCGAAACACGAGGGAGAAACTTGGGGGGAAGTGGGGGTAATGGCATGTAACCGCCTCCAACCGTCGCTACAAAACCGAAGCAACCTCTGCACGACTGAAACCAAACAACAACACTCTCTCTCTCCGACCAAAAAACCCTGAAGACGAAGCTCTCTTTCTGCAGATTCTGATGAGGAAAATGGAAGCGAAGAAGGAGGAGATTAAGAAAGGCCCGTGGAAGGCCGAGGAAGACGAAGTCCTCATCAACCATGTCAAGAAGTACGGTCCTCGTGACTGGAGCTCCATTCGATCCAAAGGCCTTCTTCTTCGCACCGGAAAATCCTGCCGTCTCCGTTGGGTCAACAAACTCCGTCCCAATTTGAAGAAGTACCGATCGTCTCCCTTTTCCGATTCTTCCTTCTCTCTGTTTCGATTCAAGTTTTGGGTTCCTTTTTTTTCAGTGGATGCAAGTTCACGGCGGAGGAAGAGAGGACGGTGATAGAGTTGCAGGCGCAGTTCGGGAACAAGTGGGCGAGGATCGCTACGTATTTGCCCGGACGAACAGATAACGACGTTAAGAATTTCTGGAGCAGTAGACAGAAGAGGCTCGCTAGGATTCTCCAGAATTCATCGGGCGAATCGAGTTCCAGGCCTCACAAATTCAATAGCGCGAGATCTGGTCGTGATTCTGTAGGTTCTTCCGAGGTAAATTCATATCCAGAGCCCGTCTAATCTCTCTCTTCTCTTACCAGTTGTTAAATCATGTCTGCTGGATTCTTAGGTTCCAGGTTTCGGCTTTGTCGGGCAAGAGATGTCGGCTTCATCATCGAAGATTGTTCTTCCATGTTCATCAGCTTATTTAGACGCATCCCAACCAGTGGAAACATTGGCAATGCCGGATTTGGGTATCAAGCTTGAGCCGCATCCGTTTGCTTTCGGGACAGATTTCGGCTTGATGGAGACATCCTTATTCACCGAAACGCAGACACAGATTTCTCTTACTCAGTTGCCTCAGCCGCAATCAAGCATCCAATTCTCGCCCGACAGCCAAGAACTCTTGGCCAGGCTGGACGACCCCTGTTTCTACGATATCCTCGGACCAGGGGATTCAGCCCAACAATTCTCTCTTCCCCAGCCGTTCTTTGAGCCAGCGAGAAGCCACCGACATGTTGGGAGGGATGAACCAGACGTCTTCTTGGATGATTTCCCTTCTGACATGTTTGATCAAGTCGATCCGCTTCATAGTCCATTTAACTGATGACGAGGCTTCTGTCATTGTAAATGATGTGTGTTTAGGTTGGATTAGCTCAATTCTAACTGATTTGTCTCTGGATGTTCTTAGCAATAGTTATGACTACATCCCTCTGTACTGACAATCCTTGTTGCTTGTGCTATCTCTCTAGCTTACTGTATTTTTTACCCTCGGTTTTTTGTAGTGTGTTAGATCAGATTCTGGTTTCTTTTCCTTCTTTTCAATATAGATTTTCTACAAACTTGTCTGAAAGCAGTTCTGTTCAAAGTGTGTTGAAACATGGAATTTTTCTGGAAACAATGATCTTATTGATTGAATGTAAAGTGTGAAACCATGATCATACAGGAGTTCAAACACAAAGTACAGGAAGATGTACTGTAAGATACTCTGGCTAGACTGGAGTTTGGCTTATGATATGGTCATGAAGGTCTGTGGTGCTTGAGGGATGGTACTGAATTCCAGCTTGACCGTGACTGGTAATCACCTCAAACTTGCCAGAGTCAAGCGACCCGTCTCCATTAGATACCCGTCTTCTCAACTCGACATATGCACAGTAATCTACTTCGTACACAGTTACATCTTCGAGGAATGTTGATAATACAGTTCCTACTCCTTCCCCTGCATTTGGGAAACATGATGGTGAATGGAGGAAAATATCACATAGTTCATTCTAGAGTCCTTTGCTTCTACAGTGTTTCAAAGAAACATATCTTAGAAGAGGGCCAGTGCAAGGCAGCAACGAGCATAGAAGAAAGCAAAACTAAGGCTGAACGAGATTTGACCCGTTAAGACAAGTTAGATGGTCACAGCTGATCGAGGCACGATACCCTAACCAACCAAGTATGATGTGCTTCCACCAAGACATGTACTGGTTTTTTCTTCTTCAGAAACATAGTCATAAACAGACATGATGTTGGAAACTAGGAAGATACCGAACGAGAACTGAGAAACAGTACTCACCATGGGTGACTAACAGCAAGTTCTCAGAAGGGTAATTATCTGCCAGAGCCTTGACCATATTCACATATCTGTCTCTACAGCCCTCCACTGTCTCTTCCCATTTCGGTAGCTAAACCAGGGAAGGCAAGAGGTAGATGAAATGAATCAAGTTCACACTCAGAATGCTCCTAAAGAAAGTCTTATATATCTAAATTTCACCTCTTTGTAGACTCGATCCGTATTACGATCCACCATCCCATCAGGAAACATGGCTTCAAGATCTGAAATGTTGTTGAATCCAAAGTTTCCATCTTTGGGAGCAAGCTCACGCCTAATAGCCACTGAGTTTAACATCTCACACAAGCCAAGCTCAATAGCAACCTGAAGCAAACGAACATCTCGGCAATGTCGAAATCATAAAGCCGATTTACATAGAGGGGCGATGATACTGACCTTGAGCTTGGATTGATCGATTGAATCGACGTCTTTGGAAGACATGGCGTTGGGGTCGACATCGACGGCGGAGAGGGCAGCGACGACCTCGGAGGCTGTCTGGATGCAGCGGAGGAAAGGGGAGACGAAGACGCGGTGGACCGGGAAGCCGGTCTGAGATCGAATCCTCTGGCCCGTACGGAAGGCCCGAATCAGACCGTCCTGTACGAGCGGTGGGTCCCACGGCCTTGCCGCCGTCGACACCCAGAGCGGCTCGAAATTGTCGATTTGATCACCGTGACGCATTACGATCACGCGCTGGTAGCCATTGGCGTTCGCTTTTGCAGGCTCCATCGCTCTCTCTCCCCCTCTGTTCCTTCAGTTTATTATTTAAAAAACGGAGAACAAAAATTCCAATTCCATCAACCCACACCCATTGGAAAAAAAAGCTTTGACCTTTACAATTTATATCATCATCTGTACATCTAAACATGAGATATATGGCTTTTGGGTCTCCCCTTGAATTTGTTTAACCACGCAAGTGATGGGCACATAATTTCGGAAAAAAGGGGTTTAACCCCATTCATTAATCCATTAAAACGGCGGGGGTTTGCAGGCTCTACGCCATCTCAACATTTTCCTCCTCCTCCTCATCCACAATCTCCTGCTAGGTTTTGATCCAGTCGATGCGAAGATATCCCCATCCATCTCCATCTTTGAGAGCAATCTCGATAACTTCTGCTTCTTCTCCTTTCCCTCCGTCGCTATCTTCGCATCCGCGTTGTTCCTAGAGCACCTTGACTCATGCCGATTCGTCCCCTGAGCTTTGTTCTCCTGCGCAGAACCGCTGCAGCTCTTCAACGACCCGCCTCCGATCTCAATCGGTCGCTTTTTCGGAGGTGGTTTCCTCGGCCTTAGATTCCATGTCTTTGGAGCAAATTCCGCTGCTTTCTGACAAACTTCGGAGATCCAATCACCAACAGATACATCTTCATCGATGGTGGAGGCAGCATCGCTGTTCTTTGGTCGAATTCGGATCAGGATCTTGGATCTAACATCCGCCACCATTGACATGTTCTCGTATCGATCCGCAGCGAGATCAGACCCACCAGTGGCGGTTCCCTTCTTCTCTCCAGCTTCGAATCGGAAGACGAACAAGAGACGCCATTTCGCTCGTCGACCACCGGATTGTCGGCCTCGCGAAGCGGGGAGTTGGAGGAGGGTTTGCGAAGCCGGCGGGGGTTGGAGTGGTTGATGGCCCACCGAGGTCAGACAATTTATGCATAATTATTTAAAAATACTAAATAAGCCTAAAAATAACCGGGACTTGTAATATAAAAACCAAAATATCCATTTTAGGCCTACACGGTGAGACGACGAGCTGTTTCAGAAGTGGAGGTTGCAAACGGCATGAAGTTGGATGTGTAGGTGTACAAGATGAGGCCCATCGTAGTATATAGTTCCTAGGATTGTTTGAATGGGCCGTGTAAGGCCCAAATTGTTATACTGAGTTTCTCTATCAAAGCCCAACTGGAGTATAGCCCCTAAACCCGCTAATTAATAATTATCCTCCTACTGCACCAAATAATTAACTTAATTAGACGTAAATAAAATAATAATAAATGAATATCTGATGATGTTATACCTGGAATAAATCACAAAATGTCTAATATCTGCATGTGCATGCAACCACAATCATAATGCAGATACACTGAGATGGCGAGGGTTTGTAACTGGGTCAAGGTCACGTGCGGGTCACGCAGAGGACAGCTGTAGACACGAATCTAATGCAAGAATGATTGAGGGTTCGATGACATAATGAGGGGCCTAAGGGCATTAAGGTAATTTTGAGTCGTAAAACCGCACCAAATGATTGGGAGAGAAATGGGTGTCCGGTGAGAGAGGGACATTTGGACACGCGCGAGCGTGCAGAAGGTACGGCCACACGTGTCCTTCCCTTTTTCTCTTTTTTTTCCGAATCCCCTCCATCACGTGACTTCCCACGTGATCCTGACATTTTTTTCCAATTAATCGCTCTTTTTGTAAATTTCACTCACGTGGTGTTCACCCGCTCTGCCCCTTCTCTCCACTTTCTTCGTTCCTTTTTATTTTTTCAGTTCTTAATTTTTTATATATATATATATATATAATTTTGTTCTAGATTATGCGATCATTGTATTTTTTTCTAAACTCCACAAAATTTACAGATAAGAAAAATTCGAAACAATTCTTTGCCCGATACGGATTTTGAACCCGTTTGCTCAAAGAGGGTGAAGCACTAATCCATTTTTTTTTGTTAACCAGCACTAATCCATTTGTTATATGTCTTATTAAAGATTAATTAAACATGTTTATACATAATTATATGTGGTGCAAACCTAACGAACAATAAACAATAATCACATGGTGAGAGAGAGAGACACAAAACCAGGGGCGGATTTCGGACCGGCGGATTGTGTTTGCGTCGTGAAGCGGAACAATGATTTCATTTCTAAGTACTATATGGGTCGGAGTCTGTTGTCCATATCTGGACTCATTACAAATTTAAATTCTGCATTTAATTGCTGTTACTATTATAGCTCCACAAAAAATAATAATTGATGGACTACTCATTTGTGTAATAAAATTGATGTCTAACAATAGACACTTTTTTCAATGCATGTATATTTCTTCGTTAATTATGATGTAGTGAATATTTTATTCAATACTTGTACGTACTACGCACGTATCCAAAGGTTTCTGTTAATACTTATTCATAAATATGAAGGAATATTAGTTTAAAATTACACAAGTTTGGCTATTGTTCTATACGTATGATCCTTTTTTGTTGTATTAGGTATTTTTAATTTTTTTTAATACAACATAGTTCGAAACCCTAATTTTATATATCGGTATACATATATTGACTACATCAACATGTATAACCTCCCGATTTATTTATTTATTTACAATGTTATGTAATTAGTTGGCCTGTCTGTATATTTCGACTTTCAAAAGGTATGACTATGATAAAGACTTTATATATTCGTTGTAGATTATAAACAAATGGTCAGTTTGAAGAAACTAAATTCACATTCGCCTAAAATCCATTCCACCGTGACTTGATTAGAAATATTGTTGCAAAGGAGAAGTTTTAAAGGCAATCCAAAAAAACTTTAATGTGAATAGTCACCATCATGTATTATATTTTTTCAAATAAACTAAATATCCGATTTTATAATTAATATAGTAAAGGGAATACGAGTTATGTGTCCATAAAAGTTGGGGCCATGCATGCACGGTGGAAATAATATCGGTTGATTGCATGTGGAATCGAATCTAGAAAACGAACACAGAACACGTGGAGGGACCTTTTGAACGTGGATAGATACACGCCATTTTTATAAAAATGATTTGACCCAAAACTCCATATTTAATTAATATTTCAAATGATTTAATGACTGTAACATATCATGGCACGATCAACTAACTATTGTCTTATTATGTATGCATTGCAATCTTACAAACCTCATTTACAATATCACTGTATAATCACGCATGCATCATTATCTAATTACAAACGTTTCATTGATTTTTTTTTATAAATAAACTTACATATTTGTATTAATTGTCTGTCCAAGCCGTATGTATATACATACACAATTCCTTCAATTATCTACGCATCTATTCATCGGATCCGAATGAAAAAACGAAAGTCTATCACGCATTCCTAAAAGTTTCCATGACAATAGACAGTTGGAAGTGCATTTTGGGAATCAATGGCAAATCTATTAATTTGCTTATTAATCATTAGGTTAAATATTTTTTGTTTAATTAATTTGGTCCAAAAAAAATATATTTTCGAACCAAAGGTTCTTCAAGCAGTAGTAGTTATAACATTTTATGGACGTTCATTGTAATTTGAGACCAAGGCAATCAAATGATACAATATGATGTTCTTTGTCGTCGTCAAAATTCATCAATATATCGCTTACCAATAAAAAAATTATATTTGTCACATGAAAAGATAATTCATTATTTTCACTAAACGGAAATGCCCATGGAAAACATTTAGGAAAAATCTCAAAACAATACCTAATCTTATCAATTTTCATAAAATAAAACATAAACTTTGTTTTTTATCAAATAAAACCTCAACTTTATATATTTTTCAGACAAAATAAACCTGAACTTTATAATCTTTGTCATTTTTAAGCTTATTGCTGACGTGGCGTTCCGATATCGTGATACGTGGACGATGATGTGTCAAATACGGTCAACGCGTTGACTTGTCACGTCAGTAATAGGGTTAAAAATGATAATGATTATAAAGTTCAGGATTATTTTTAACTGAAAAATGAAGTTGAGATTTTATTTAATAAAAAAACAAAGTTTAGGTTTTATTTTGTGAAAATAAAAAAAGTTCAGAAATTGTTTTGGGATATTCCCAAACATTTATATATACAGGACATGTTATCTGCTTAAGCATGCGGCCATATATATACATACAAAATGCGATTTATGTAAGCGTGCGAACAGATGTATATATATGTGTGCGTGTGGTCACCGAGCATGTGATTTCACATCATCAATCATGATTGATCTCATCAGTAAATGATAGTTGTCCCTGTGATTTCATTATTCAAAATTTCATATATAAAAATTCGACCCTCCCCCCGCCCCCAAATCATCAAAAGAAAAAATTGTCATGATGGCACCTGTGTGTATTATATATATAACCCACACATTCGTAAGGGTGTGAGATGCACGCGCGTAATAGAGCGCCCGTGGACGCGTGAAGAGTATCCAATGATTGTAGAGAAGTGGGGTGAGACTGGTCATGGAGAGAACCACCGCACGTGTGTAGGCTATCTGGACCACGTGCTGCCACGTCTGTAACTTCCCACGTGCTCTGGCACGTGAACCCCCTCGTGTCTCCTACGTGACCTCCACTATCTATTGTTCTTTTTGCTTTGTTCCAAAATTGCTCCCACCTCGTAAATTCATCAATTACCCGGTTCAAATCCTCACGAGTGATAACACGACCATCTGGTCGGTCCAAATTGAAATTTCGGTGCTATCTTTTGTTTATGGATAACGAATCAATTCAGTATCTATATATATATTGAAATATTTATTCAACGAATTTAGAGAGAGTAAGACGACCAACAAAAGAATTATTATTTTGAAGGAAAAAATATACTTTTCCAGGAGACGGCGCTCCATAAAATGATGTCTGGAAATATCTATGCTTTCATTTCTCCTATTTTATTGCCAAGCAAGTATTGAAATTTAAATTAAATTAAATAATATTCAGTTGCGCAGAAGCACGTGCATCTTTTTAGCAGCCTTAATCCGAGCATATAAGATAAGATTTGGAACATACGTCCCTTTTTTGGCCCTTTTTAGATGCGTCAAATCTCAAATAAAACATATTATGTTTTTCAATTAAATTAAAATTGCATAGAAAATTAGGCATAAAGAGAAACCAATGGTCTTTTTTTTTTCACAGCGCAAGTAATGGTGTGCACAACGATACCAATAATTATGATCAGATGGAAACCAATTGAAGTTTAACAGCTAATCCTGGATTACAAACCCGTCAATTCGTGATTTATTAAGGAGAACCATAAATTAAGAGGAAGATAGACGTTACGACAATAATAATAATAAATAAATAAATAAATAAACCAAGAAGGCAATAAAGGGAAGAAGGCCGACACATTTATGGTGGTGAAGGATAGGATGGGTACGTTTAAATTAAAGAACAAAACCCGACATGTCTTGTCATTGTCTGTTACTGTTGAAAAAACTGAAGGCATAGTAAGATACAATCAAATCAAAATTCAAAACTTTAAATCAGTAATTAATTAGTGAATATTAATTAAATATACCACTAATCTCTGTTAAAAATCAATGACCGATGATACAATAAATGGCGATGAAGGAAAAACGTCGAGATGCATGTTGGGTTCACAGGCGGCAACTCCTCTGCCATTATAGTAAATATAGGCTCTGTTGTAACCTACCAATGCGACGTCGTATCGATCCCGCTCTCTCTCTTATTTGTATTCACGCGCATACTCGCGCGTGTAATATACCTTCCCCGACGTAGGTCTACATATTAATTATTGTATGAATAATATGTTGTTTTTTCAAAATTTATACATATTATTGTATTAATAGTATGTTGATATTTTTTTTTTCAAAAATTTACCATTCCTCACACTTATTACCACCATTGAAACTCTTTCCACATCCAACAGTACACTTATCACCGCATCAAGTTACACTTGGGAGTGAAGGACTATGTAATGGGTTTGGTAAATTAATTAGAATAACTTGAAGATATAAAAATGGTTGACTGGGATTATCTGGGGCCCGCATGGGGATGTGAAGAATGTATTTGAATAATGAGGCATCATCACCTTATCATATGATTATATATATACATATATTCCATTTTCTGATCTCTCGCGCGTGGAATGCACTGTCTGGTCGTTTCAGCCGCAGCTTTTAAGACAATCTATATCTCTCCTCGCTCTCTAATGCGGTCAACGGTCAACTGTGGAGAAAGCCACTTTCCAAGTGAAAGCCCCCCATGGTGGGTTTCCAACTAATTTTTTTTTGGTTCAATATTTTTTATAAAAAAAATCTAGAAAAGAAAACCTAAATTGTTTGCAGTGAATGACAATAATATCCCATGGAAAATCCCTGTAGTAATTGAGTTTGGTCTGAGTTACATACTTTGACCAATTAAGTGTGGTCATAGAAAACGGAAATGGGCTCGACTTTTTTTGACCGCGGTAGAAAGATGAAGAGGAGTTTAAGAAAACTAACCAGATGTCTACGTTTCTACTAACTAACCGTGGTTAAGTTAAAAAAAATGAATCAGGTTGCAGTGTAGATCATCATTGAGCTTACAGGGGTCTCTCTGACACGTCATCATTGAACCCCTTAGCCTCTTCTCTACACCCTATGTTCCCCCACCTCTCGCTTTTAACACCGTGTATATATACACACACACACACACTCATATGTTACAACTTGCCTGCTGCGAGAGAGAGAGAGAGAGAAGGCGTTTTCTCTACTGTTCTTCATTTTCTGAGGAACCAAACACCAGGAAATATAATTTGTGAGGCCAGAGAAAAGGAAGGTCTTCTGACATTTGAGAATGGGTAAAAGAGATGATGGGTTGGGGCTGAGCCTGAGCTTGGGGTTGATCTCTCATCAGAAGGAACCATCTCTGAGGATGAATCTGATGCCTATGGCTTCTTCTCCTCACATGCAGAACCTTAATAACAATCCTCAGAGGAGTCACAACCCTTGGACTCACCTCTTCCAATCCTCTGGTATTTCTTTCTTTTTCTTCCTTTTTTCTGCATACCGCTAGCTTTCTGTCTAGATTATATGGATGCAGACAGTGTGAGACATCCATTTAAATCCGTTTCCATGCGTCAGATCTGGTCTTGATGATAATACAGAACATGCTCTTCAAAAAATCTCAACTTTTTTCTTTCTTGTGGTGATGAAAGTTGTGTTTCTTTCTTTCTGGGACTTGTGTGATTAGCTCCTGGTAACAGAAAGATGCGTGCAAGATCAGAGCGTCTCTTACATGTTCTCCTCCAGTGATGTTTCATCGAGAACAACTTGAAATGTCTTCATGCAATGATCTGTGTTCTAACGGTGTTATTTCTTATTGTTGCGTGTGGTTGCAGACAGAACCTCAGAGTTGAGATTATCGTTGATGAGGGGCATAGACGTGAACAGTGCTCCGTCGCCGGCGACGGCAGAGGAAGACGGCGGTGCGTCGTCACCTAACAGCACCGTCTCCAGTTTAAGCGGCAAGAGGGTCGGCGGAGCCGACGACATCGACGGCGAGAGAGCTTCTTGCTCTCGCGGCGGCAGCGACGAAGAAGACGGTGGAAACGGCGACGGATCGCGGAAGAAGCTGAGGTTGACGAAGGAACAGTCTCTTGTCCTCGAAGAGACATTCAAGGAACACAGCTCTCTGAATCCGGTCAGTGGCATTTCCGTTATTTTTACATGTTCGTATGGACGTTTTCCGATTGGGGTATTGGGTTCATTCATATTTACTTTGCAGAAGCAAAAGCTGGCCCTGGCGAAGCAGTTGAATCTGAGGCCGAGGCAAGTGGAGGTGTGGTTCCAGAACCGCAGGGCAAGGTGTGTAATTCTCTCTCGTATCCAGGGGTATCTTAGGAATTTCCATAATATGATCCTTTATTACCCGATAAAGACCTCCAAAGATCCTGCGTCTGGTTTCACTTCATAACCTAATCTCCATCTCTGCAACTTACTTATCTAAGCATTTGGACTTAAACGTTGAACGTACGTACACGTGCATGTGTTCTCACTCTCTCTCTCTCTCTATATATATATATGTGTGTGTGTATGTATATACAGGACGAAGCTGAAGCAGACAGAGGTTGACTGCGAGTACTTGAAGAGATGCTGCGAGAATCTGACCGACGAGAACCGGAGGTTGCAGAAAGAGGTGGCGGAGCTGAGGGCGTTGAAGCTTTCGCCGCACCTCTACATGACCATGAGCCCTCCTACCACCCTCACCATGTGCCCTTCGTGCGAGCGCGTCGCTGTTCCTTCCTCAGCGGCAGCACCTCACTCGGCTGGACGGCTTGATGTGGTCGGGTCAAGGCCTCACCGGCTGTCAACGCCGGTCAACTCGTGGGCTGGCGTTCATCTTCGGGAAAGACCCGCCACGTGACGTGATCGGTCTAGAGTTGATCTTGGCATGTGTATTTGTGGTTAAGATAAAAGCAGGATTTGTTCAGATGATGGGGGATGCGTATATGTACGAATTCATGTACGTTCAAACAAATATGGACTTAGAAATTTACGGCTTTTTACAATTTACAAATATTGAAGCAAAGTACAAAATATTGGATGCTCTTGTGGGGTCCCACTGGATGAAGAGCAAATCGAATCTCTTATGGAACAGAGAAGATACGGTTTTAATGTCAAAGGTCAGTGATTCAGTGAGGAATGACATGTCGAGGGTTGCAATTAGTAGCGTCAGAGAAAACACAAGTACTGAGAGTTTGTCATTAAACGGGAAACAGAGAAAAGGGCGGGAAATCAGAAGAGGACAACAAAATATGTTTGGGCTTTGAAATAGCCCAATAAGGCCAACCGAGTGATCATGGACAAATAAATACATTGGGCTTCAAATAGCCCAATTTTGTATAAATGTTGGGCCATTGTTTACTCTCGGACCTTGCTTATGTTGCTTCCTAAATTTTTCCTTAGACAAAAATAATGTTATAAAAAAAATTGAAATTATATTATTTTAATGTTATAAATTATTATACGATTCAGATTTACCACCAAAAAATAAAACTATAAAAAACACCAACCTGATGAAACGGTGATGTCCAAAATCGTTGGGGCCCACGAAAAAAGACAGTCAAGGTCAATTCCGTAAATTTTGCCAACGGTCATGATACCGACGGTCACTTTTTTTTTTTTGGATAGTCTTCGTTCTCTCATCCTCTTTTCTCTCTCTGTCTGCAGCTTTACTGTCGCCGTGTCTTTTACTTGGCTTCAAAGGCTTCCTTTCTTCGCCATCTCAATGAATCCCTAAATCCCATCTCACAGTGCTCCTACTCTCCATTACTTTTTTTCTGCCGAAACCCTAGCGATCTCCGAAATCTGCTCATCAATGGCGTCTCCGAATCCGTACACAAAGGGACGGTCTCCGCCAAATCTCGCAAGAGAGTCGCCGCCTATCTCCTCCGTCCAACCGGCGCCCCGGACTTCGTGCTCCAGCAGCTTCCTCTGTAAGTCCGTCTTCTTCGCTTTGTTTCTTCTCGCCCTGCCGTTGTTCCCCTCCCAGGCGCCCGATTTCGTCGGGGAAACTGTGTTCACCAAGTTCTGGGAGCTGATTCATCTCCTCTTCGTCGGCATTGCCGTATCTTATGGTCTTTTTAGCCGTAGAAATGCGGATTCGGGAGTCGAATTGCAATTGCGGACAAGTAATGTCGATGAGTCTTCGTTGTCTTATCTCTCTAGAATGTTCCATGTTTCTTCGTTTTTCGATTACGAGTCTGAGTTTGGCCAGAGGAATGAGAATCGCTCTGTTAAAGTGAGCATTCCTACTTCGGAGAGCAGATTGGAGTCGTTTGTTGCTGAAAGTCAAGTGGACGATTCGGTTGAATATGGTAAAATCAGTCAGGTCCAAGCTTGGAATTCGCAGTATTTTCAGGGAAGATCCAAGGTTGTAGTTGCACAACCATCTTACGGCATTGATGGTTACACCGGACACAAGCCGTTGGGTTTGCCGGTTAGGAGTTTAAGGTCAGCTTTGAGAGATATTCAAGCTCCTGAAGGTAATTGTTTGTCTCCGAATCTTGTTGGAGGTGTGAGGGAGGACTTTGGTTCTTCCGGTTATGTGGAATCGAAGGAGAAGTTTGATGAGGCTAGGGCTCCATCTTCACCTGTTCCACGGCAGTCAAGATCTGAGAAGATGGCAGTTAGAGACAATTTGAGAGGAGGCACTTATCATTCAAATCTTACTCCTCTTCCAGATGATGAGCCACAGTTTGAGACCCTCAAATCAGGATCTGTCCGGTCTATCTCGTCTTCTTCTACGCAGGGTAGTTTTGTATCACATACTCATAGTAGATTCTCGCCTTCACATTCTGCTTCGGCAGATTCATTAAATTCAAACGCGGAGGAATTGGGTGAGGAGCAGAGTCTCCATGGGTCATCACGGTCTAGTTCACCACCCCTTTCCCCATCGCCATCACCCCCTCTGTTATCACCAAAATCGGTTACCGATGATACTCATAGGCGCTTGTCCCATTCTCGACATTATAGCGAGGGTTCTTTGTTTGAGGAGGCTGGAAGGAGAGGCTTGGAAGAGGAGTTGGATGGGGGTAATAAACTTAGAGGCAGAAGAACAGACTTCCTCACTAGGAAAGAGCCGGGATCTAGATCATTAAAATTAACTGGTGAGGATTTCAGAAAAGGATGCAGTTCTCGTAAATCTTATCCTCCTGATTCCGTCTCACATACCTTGGGTGGTGGTGATTCCCCGACTAGATGGCATCCTCAGCAAAAGAGTTTGCTTGAGGACACTATGGGGAGAAGCTGGGAGGAGGACCCTAATCATCTTAGGGAAAAGTTGAAGAATAATTCGCAGAAGAGAGTAGGTGTGAATCAAGGTTCTCTAGAAACGGAAACAGATGGTTATGACCAAGACCGAAAGTTGCATGAATCTTCTCCTCAAGGTGCCTTATCCCCACCGATGAGCGATAAAGTTTCAAGCAATGTGACAGATGCTAGGCTTGAGGGTTGTGGCTCTTCACAGGACAAAGACGTGAAGAGAAACCCAGAGGATGATTCTATGAATTTCGGCAGGTCCAGAAGAAGTGACCGTCATGGTAATAAGGAGTTGAAAGCTGGTACTAATCTCCGATGGGAATCAAATTCCGGCAAAGCCGGTAATAAAGCTTCGGCGATAGGAAGGTCTGTTAGGACAGTTAGATCCAGTCGGTATGCCAAAGATCTTAACGAAGAGGGGGAAACATCTGATGGCTGGGCAGAACACCGGGGAAGAACAAAATCGAGAAACCAAAGACAAGATGACAATGTACCAAATGAAACAAACACGGAAAATCTTGGTCAAACTCGTGCTAAATCAAAGCCGAGATATTTTGAAGACAGAAATGGTAAGGGTAAACAGGCATCTAAGAGTTACATAATGATGGATGATGATGGAGACGAGCAGGAAAAGGAAGAGAAGGAAGCCGAGGAACCTCGAGTAAGGATAGAGGAAGAAAGTGGCCGGGGAAGTGTGAGCGATGCCGGGACTGACCCTAACGAGGTAGACAGGAAAGCGGGAGAGTTCATAGCCAAGTTTCGGGAACAGATAAGGCTTCAGAAACTGACGTCGGGTGAACTGCCTAGAGGAATTGGTAATATCGGCGGTGGTGGCCATTTCAGATGACAGTACTGAGACTGAGAGTCACATACCCGAATCCAATGTATGCTTCTTCTACCGTCTTCTCTGGTTTTCTTTTATTGCTTATTAATTTATCTGCGTGTTGCCTCTTGATGTCTAAATCTATTTGAGTGCTCGTGGCTTTTGTTTTGTTACATTGGTTGGTTCTGTCCGAACTTGGAACACGCTTGTTCTGATTCAGTTCCAAGCCGCAGAGCGTCAAAGTTCTCTACCCAAATCCGCCCCCACTTTTTCCTACTTTCCCCCCGTTTTCCCCTATTTTTTTGTTTTCTCCAACTTTGACCCCTTCTTTCTGAAATCTTTCACAAACTTCCCAAAAACCAAAACCAAAACCAAAATTCTCCTTGAATTTCGATATACGTAAAATATTTAGTATTATTATTTGCTATTATAATAAAACACAGATAATTTATTTTGGTGGAAGTGTTGATTGGACGTAACGAAATTGGAAAAAGGTCATTAATTGCAAATGAGATTCCACATTTGTTTATCATAGTCAACTTTCTGTCTCCCCTGCCATAATAAATACGTTCAAAGGAATATCTTTAGTATTTATTAATATGACGAAGTGGGATACTAATAATAATTATAATATGCCCAAAACAGAGGTAATATCAAACATTTATTTTGGCCCTGTCATTTAAACTCTAACAAAAAATAATAATCTTGTAATAGCAATTGTGTTTCTATTTATGTATCTTTACTACCGTCATTACTATTATTGGGTTTGACCATCCCTACGGTAATAATACATGTATTTTTAATATTGTATAGGCAAACTGATAATTTTGAAGCAAGAGCAAATTTTCCTCGGTCTTTTTCTAAAGTAAACCACGCTTCCGTGGCATTTAGATTCTAATTTATCTGTAAGATTAAGAACTACAGAATTATCTTTATATTAAACCCAATTAGATGTTCAAAAATTGATAGAATATGATTTTTTAAAAATAAATTTAATCGAATTTGAATGATATTTAAAATTAATTGAATTTTCTTTATAAAATGATTATTTTCAATAAAAAATTGAAATCGAATTGAAATGAATGAAAAACAATGTAAAAATCAAATGGCGTAATTTTAATAAAAACTGAATAAATCAAATAAAAAACAATGGAATATGGATGGTTAAAAAGGAACTTCATTTTGAGAAAAAATAAATAAATAAAGGATAGTATATACTCAGATAATGCAACGAGGGAAGTATGAAATTACAAATTACGGTGAGGAAAACATAGACGTATGAATATTAACAATTTAAGTATTTAACACACAAATATAAATATAGACATATATATATATATATATGTATGTATCCAAAACGACATGTTATTTTCTTATACGCTTTGAGCTCCGATACTTTGAAAATTCATACCAAAAATTCCCCAAGGGAAATTTATGTCTATTTATTTTTTTTGGCACGCAGGAAAAAAATATGTTTACGCATAGATAACATTTACTAACATTATTTACCAAAAAAAAAAACATTTACTAACATTCATATAACCTCTCTGTTATGAAGGATTATAATCTATAAAGCATACACTATACAAACATAACTAAAACATTAAATGTCAGATTATGAGATAATATAATACTAATTTTTTTTTCTGTGTTTTATAGGACTTTGTGTTTCTTCCACCCTTTACGTGTAATTTGAAATTCTTCCAAGTTCATTATAAAGATGGATCAAGGCCAAGAGAGCTTCAAGATCAAGAAAGAACGCATTTTGAAGAGAACGTGTCATGAATTGTTTATGTATAGGTAACTACAAGTGATGTGATTATGTAAAAGTTTGTAATTTTGTCAAAAAAATATTAGTATGCAATCGAAAAAGGATGGATGGTCTCGTGGGAGGGCAATATAAATGTACCGTGCGAAGGAGGTGATTGATGGCTTCTCTCCAATTCCTTTTGTGAGCTTTTCCTTCTGTCCTCCCCCGCAAGCCCCGACCCGGATTCTGCAATTCTTCTCTATCTTCCTCAATTCCCCAATCTCTCTCTCGTCTCACCGCACGAACAGGGAAGGGAAGTTTCAGGGAAGAGAGTTCGATGGATAGATAGCCTCTCTTAACGAGCTTCGCTTTCGTCTTAATTCTCTCCGACCATCACTCCCTCTGTTTCTCTCACTGCATCTTCGTCCTCTCGGGTTACTGTTCTCGAGTTCCTGCCAATGCAAATCGATTAGAAAGGCCAGTGATTTGCTTGTCTGATTCCGTAGGGTTCCTGTTCCTTTCTATTCGAGGGTTTTTGCGTCAAAGCCCCGCGAGCATTCTCAGCTCACCGGGCTGTTGAATTTGGCTTTGTATGTATCGTGGAATGTGCCTTTGATTGCGTATGGTTAATTGGGTGTTTTTTTGTTTCGGAGCCATCGGATTGCTGAACTATCAAAATCTGGACTTGTCCGTGAAGTGATCTCTATCTTGTTCAAAGACTAGGACTTTCTCGGCTTGATGAGGATCTGTCTCGCCCTATGATGATGCCTTTCTGAAGAGTTGTGATCAGGGTTTTCAGGGCGTGGGATATATTGGCAAGCTGGATTGATTTTCGGTCTATGCTTATAGAATTTAGGTTTTAGCTTGCAAGAGTTTGTCCATCAGAGTGTGTGTATATATCTGACCCGGACATGAGTCGTAGGCTGAGGCAAAGAGTGGAAGCAAAGGGAAAGGACGAGGGCGTCTTGCCAAGCTACATCGAGACTAGCCACGAGGATTCAGTTCCCGAGCTTCGTGGGTTTGTGGATTGGACATGCTTGCCTTATGACACTGTGATTCAACTGTTTATGCGGTTGAATTATCGTGATAGAGCTAGCTTAGCTTCTGCTTGCCGGACATGGAGAAGCCTCGGTTCTTCCTCCTGTCTATGGAGTTCACTCGATCTTCGTGCTCACAAGTTTGACATTTCTACCGCGGCTTCTCTTGCACCGAGGTGTGCTAATCTTCAGAAGCTTAGGTTTCGTGGTGTTGACTCAGCTGACGCCATTGTCCACCTCAAAGCGAGGCATCTGCTTGAGATAAGTGGTGACTATTGCAGGAAGATAACCGATGCCACATTGTCCATGATTGCTGCCCGCCATGAGTCCCTTGAGAGTCTCCAACTCGGGCCAGACTTTTGTGAGAGGATCACTAGCGATGCTATAAGGGCCGTAGCCTTTTGCTGTCCAAAACTTAGAAAGCTTCACCTTTCCGGAATAAGAGATGTCAGTTCTGAGGCGATAGAAGCTTTGGCTAGACATTGCCCGCAACTCAGCGATCTTGGATTCTTAGATTGCCTTAACATCGATGAGGATGCACTTGGAAAAGTGGTATCAGTTCGCTACCTCTCTGTTGCCGGGACATCTAATATAAACTGGTCAGTTGCGTCGAATAAGTGGCATAAGCTCCCGAAATTGACAGGTGTGGATGTCTCAAGGACTGATATTGGTCCTACTGCAGTTTCAAGGCTTTTGACATCGTCTCAGAGCTTGAAAGTTTTTTGTGCTTTAAACTGCACTTTCCTCGAAGAGGATACGAGTTTTGGTGCCGATAGATTCAAAGGAAAAGTCTTGCTAGCTTTGTTTACTAGTGTTTTTGATGGGCTAGCTTCTATATTTGCCGATACTACAAAGAAAGTAAAGGATGTGTTTTCTTACTGGAGAAACTTGACAACCACCAAGGATAGAAACATTGACGAAATCATTCATTGGCTTGAATGGGTCCTTTCTCATATACTTTTAAGAACTGCGGAGAGCAACCCGCAAGGATTGGATCATTTCTGGCTGAATCAAGGGGCTCCATTGTTGCTCAGTTTAATGCAGAGCTCACAAGAGGATGTCCAAGAGAGGGCGGCGACAGGTCTTGCAACTTTTGTCGTTATTGATGATGAGAATGCTAGTATAGACGGTGGAAGGGCTGAAGCTGTTATGCGTGATGGAGGGATCCGACTTCTCCTTGACCTCGCAAAATCATGGCGAGAAGGGCTTCAGTCAGAAGCTGCAAAGGTGTTGTTTACTGTTATCTCAATTAGGTTTTGGCTTTTCCTTTTTCTTCTCCTCAGATATGGAATTGGCATAACAAGTTCTTTTGTTAAATATTAGGCTATAGCAAACTTGTCGGTAAATGCTAATGTTGCAAAGGCTGTTGCTGAAGAAGGGGGAATAAGTGTCCTTGCTAGTTTGGCAAGGTCCATGAACAGACTCGTGGCCGAGGAAGCTGCTGGTGGACTATGGAATCTCTCTGTTGGAGAAGAGCATAAGGTACTTACTTCCCTCAACTTATTTGCCATACACCTATATATATACCATCCATTGAAAAAATATACCATCTATTGAAAAAATAGCCATCTCACTGCTGTTGATGTTGCTCTCTTTATTTATGAAGTAACAAGCTTATCTTATCGCTCTTGTAAAGAATTTATCCTTAGTGCCAGCCTGACTCACATTGTTGTTTCTATATCAGAGTACTATTGCTCAGGCTGGAGGAGTGAAGGCTTTAGTTGACCTTATATTTAGATGGCCAAATGGTTGTGATGGAGTTCTGGTAACCCATTTCTCTTTTCAACATTGTGACCTTCTCCTTTTTTGTTTGGAGGAATTCCTTTAAAAATGTAGGAATGGACTTTACCTTTGTGTAATCAGGAAAGGGCAGCCGGGGCTTTAGCGAATTTGGCAGCAGATGATAAGTGCAGTATGGAAGTCGCAATGGCAGGAGGTGTACATGCCCTAGTGATGCTGGCTCGCAACTGCAAGTATGAAGGGGTGCAAGAACAGGTAATTTATTTCCTCTTCAGGATTAAAATCTCTTTTTATTTGATCTTTATTTACCAAATTCTGTGGAAAGTGATTTAAGTCACTGAGAGATTGTGGTTCCATTGTATTGTCGTATCTACAGGCTGCACGGGCTTTGGCTAACTTGGCTGCTCATGGTGATAGCAACAATAACAATGCAGCAGTTGGGCAAGAGGAAGGTGCATTAGAAGCACTTGTTCAGCTTACACAGTCAGCCCATGAAGGTGTTAGACAGGAAGCTGCTGGTGCCTTATGGAATTTGTCATTTGATGACAAAAACCGTGAATCCATTGCTGCAGCTGGTGGCGTCGAAGCTTTGGTGTGCTTTCAATTACTTTTCCTTCCTAAGGCTATGCTTTCTGTTTGTCTTTATTCACAGTTTTGATCTTTTTTTAAAAAAAAAAATTGATATTACTTTTAAATTTAAACATGTAGAACTTATTGCTAATAAAGTAGCATGATCTTTCAAAGAATCTAGCTTTTGTTCTATGTTCAGCTGATCGAATTGTTTATGATTATACGTACAGTTGTATCTTCAGGCATTGATCAAACGTTTGATGATTGTATGTATAGGTGGCACTTGCACAGTCCTGTTCAAATGCATCCACAGGTCTTCAAGAGAGGGCCGCCGGTGCTCTCTGGGGATTGTCAGTGTCAGAAGCGAACAGGTTCAGGCAAATCTGAATCCATTATGAACAACATATACCTTTATGATAATTGGTCCATAACTTCTTTTTTCATATAATTTTGTCCTGTCAGCATTGCCATCGGACGTGAAGGCGGTGTTCCACCTCTAATTGCTCTTGCACGGTCGGAAGCTGAGGTTAGGGTTTTGATTTTCTAAAACTTTTGTATTTTCTCTTTTTCTATTGGGTAAAGAACGAAATTCCTCAGACCTGTGGAATCTGTGATATGGAAGGAAGCTGAAGTATTATGTTGTGTCTGATCTGGTTTACTCCATGACATTATACTTTCAGGATGTACATGAAACTGCTGCAGGAGCCCTGTGGAACCTAGCGTTTAATCCAGGCAATGCTCTTAGAATCGTGGAGGAAGGGGGGGTTCCAGCTCTTGTTCACCTGTGTTCTTCTTCTGTGTCAAAAATGGCACGTTTCATGGCAGCATTGGCATTGGCATACATGTTTGATGGAAGGTATGCTGACAAAAAAAACAAGCTAATGCTAAGTTTCTCCATACAAATCCTATGATGACGGTGGGGATGATGATATGTATGTGTACAGGATGGAAGAATTAGCAATGATAAGAGGGGGGGCTTCGTCAGAAAGCAGTTCGAAAAGTGTGAGCTTAGATGGGGCCAGAAGGATGGCTCTAAAGCACATTGAAGCTTTTGTTATGACCTTTTTGGACCCCCAAATATTTGCAGCTTCTGTTGTATCATCTGCCCCAACTACTTTGGCTCAAGTTACTCAGAGGGCTCGCATCCAAGAAGCCGGCCACCTCAGATGCAGGTTTAACCCCCATTATTCTCTGCTTGAATATTTTAACTTTCAATACCCTTTGGTCCTCGGTTATTTGTTTGTCAGAAAATGATTTAAAGATTCAATATTTCGTCTTCTTTTGTGTGCAGTGGTGCTGAAATAGGAAGATTCGTAGCAATGTTACGAAATTCATCATCTATACTCAAAGAATGTGCTGCATTTGCGCTTCTCCAGGTATATATATATGTGTGAAAAGAATCTGTGTTTGCATTATCAATGCATGATAAGTCTCTCTATTGGTAAACTGATGATTGTCCCTCTTCTTACCTGTAAAAAATGTTAAAAAAAAACAGTTCACAATACCAGGGGGTCGACATGCAATGCATCATGCAAGTCTGATGCAGAACGCCGGTGGAGGAGCAGCAAGAGTCCTCCGTTCTGCAGCCGCGGCTGCCAATGTCCCTCGTGAGGCTCGTTTCTTTGCCAAAATCGTCCTTCGTAATCTCGAGCATCACCATGCTGAATCTTCCAAATGAATCGGATCTCATATACTTTTCAGGCTTCATTATAGGATTTGAGCTCTCTTAGCACATATATATACATATATGATAGTGGAAGTCTTTTACTTAGAACACATCAACCCTGTTTTGTCAAATATGTAGAACAAGTGGAACAGAGGAGGGTTTTGTCTGATGAAATGGAGGGTGGTCTTCACTTGTGTGGCATTAGGACATAAAAAATGTGGTCTCTCTTTTTTGGGGCGATGTCTATTTCTTGTGACATATGCGTTCTGACTCCATAGGACCTTTTCTTTAGAGATTTTCAATGCCATTTGTGATTTGTGGATTTTCGAGACTTGCCTCCCACGTTTCATATTACATGTAGTAACACTTGGTATTCTATGGCAATTGGTATTACTACAATATACTAATTTACATAACTTTGTATTAATCGCACATAATGTTGAACGACAAAACACGCCCCAAGAGGGGGGGGGGGGAAGCGTTCAAAGGGTTTTCTCCAAAGCGATCATAACGTAGCGTGTAAGGCAAGTAACAAACAAACAACCTCAATCACACATTACGCAACATGAGCCCAACCTGATAATCTCTGAGGCCAATCAGATCCGTGAAGAAGTCTCCAACTCTCGAGAGCCATTCGTGAGAGAGAGATTCGGACACTGAACCTGTGGAGGATGTTCTGTCACCCAAATACGGCACTATATACTTCTTCATATCGCTATGTGAAATCTGAAGATGATTCCCAGGCACGTTTATGAACTTGACCTTCCCTGCTTCATCCAACATTCTCAAACCGATCCAGTCTTCGGTATAAAGCTTTGTCTGCAGAATATAAAGCGTTGTCTAACAGATATATCTGTGAGGTAGAGATTAGCAGTAGAAGTATATATATATGTACCTTCTGCGGTGGAAGAACAGTCTGAAATGACCCATCAGGATAATACCCAAACCATGAAGTCTCCTTGGGTATGAGAATAGTATCGTGGTCAAACTATTCAATAATAACAGTCAACGTTAATAAACTCGGTAGAGAGAGATATGTAGCAATAAAGGAGCAAACTCTGATACCGACCATAATGAGTACGAGGTTGTCCAAGCTCAAAAACCTCTCCTTATATGTTGAATTTTTCACGGGAAGTTCGTTGTTCAGTTTTGGAAGAAACCTACAACCTTCCATGTAGTTTGCTACGTCCTGAGAAAGGATTCAAATAAGACAGAGTGAGTGAAAATTTGATCCCGGGTTTCGAAGGTCATATAATTACCGCAAAGACTTACCGTCGGGATTTTGAGAAAGCCACTAGGAGCAAGGTGTTCCTGTAATTTAAATAAGGGAGAGAAATTCACGTCTATCAAACAAACTAGAATAACAGTTAAATATCGAAAAAAGATCACGAATCAAGGTTTACCTGAATGTATTCACTGTAGATTTCTGTTTTGATCAGACTGTCAAGCATGATGCAAACCCAGGATGACTGCAAAAGATGGCCATATAAATACCAATCACCGATACTATTACTCAAAGTAAATGTATAAGAATAGACTTTGGATGGAAGTACTCACCCCACAGAACGGGATTGAAGCAGTACCGGCATGGGGGCCAGCCACTGATACGAAATTCTTAACCTATTCCATCATTGGTGCACAGGAAGAAAAATATCATCACTATAAAAACGAAAGAACGTACACACGGTAAGAAGAGACTTTTGGAATGTTTTCTATACATATTATAGACACAGAAAAGAATCAGATAAAATGGACTTACCGGAGGTCCTCCATCGCACAACTCTATAAGGCCTCGACCAATCATGTTACCCTGTGAGAAAAGAATCAGATAGGCATTAATAATGGATTCTTTTTCACACAGCAGATCACATGAACCAGACATGGATATAATGGGATATCGAAAAGAAAATATCTAATGAACAAGTTGGCTACACAAGCTGACCGTAACATTAATGGACTAAGTATTACCTGAGAAAGACCAACAATGCTGTAACCCTCGCTAAGCTCAGGCATATTCTTCACCTGTAACATTTAGTGCAGTGTTTAAATACAGTGCTTCCATCTTAGAACCATTACTAGCAAAAACCGAGAGAGTGATCTAACCTTCTCACAAGCAACGGCCGTCTGAAAACACAGAAAAAGAAATCAGACAGCTGGAATACATAAGATTCTTTCTTCAACATGTAATAAGATCAAGAGTCACCTGATCGATAAGGGGCATAGTCCATGAGTCCCATGATCCATTTCCAATTTCCCTGAATTACAAAGAAAGAAATATATCACCAGGAACTGAACAGAGCCCATAAAAGTAGATTAAAACAGGCAACACACCAAACAAAAGCAGGGAGAAGAACAAAAGACATACAAGCAATATCCTTGAGAACCAGACCAGTCACTTAAAAGATCTGTAAACTGAGTCACTCCTCGATTACTGCATTTATCGCCAATTCCTGTTAATCATGAATAGAAACTTCACAACTATGAATACCATGAAAAACTAAGAATTGCCCTTGTTCAAAGACCAGGAAATTCGCAACCTTACAAGAAAATCTGTAAGAGAAGATAGCAAATATTTCAGAAAAAGGCAATCTGATGGAGTACTATAAACTTTATTAGCTTTGTCCTTAATCGAACCGTGGAAAATTTTGGATTTTTCTAAGAGACGGGGTAAAAACCAAACATACTCTCAACAAAAACATAAACAATGAACAGAAAAAAGCATCGTTTCATAGCAAACACAGTACAGAAACGATCGTTACGATTACGAATGCCGCTAGCAAACAGGATCATGTCATCGTTATCTTCGAGTTCCAGTAAAAACCATCCCGCACGACAGGATAAGGGGACATGATTAGAAACAGTATTACCATGCAAAACGATGAAAGGTGCAGAATAAGCTAGCGGGAGAAAAGCGGATATCAGGGCAACAATTGCAGCTACTGCGAGGAATGCATTAAGATGAGCCATCTTCCTGTGATAAGAACAACGAAAGAAGATTTTCTCTTCTTCTCCTCCTCCTACTCTCGACTTGTCTGATTCCTGGAACATAAAACTGTCAACTAGGGTTCCGCCGAGAAAAGATATTGAGAAACAAGGGAACTCCGACAAGATACCTCACCGATAACACCACCGGGGCACCGTCGCCGGAGAAGTGAGCTCGGGACAAGAGTTCCTGGTCGGCGACCGATTTTTCTTTTGAAGAACAGAATCTGGGTTTGGGTTTGGGTTTGTGTTTGGTTTGGATTTGGTTTAGTCTGATCATTCTAGATCGATGACGAACTGTCTAGTGATTGGGTCACGCACGTGTTGTACCGTGATACACACGCGCTACTTAGTTAATCAAATTTTCTTCGTGTCTTTACTGTACGATCAGCTTCAGCGCGTGGGGATTCAATGTCAACAATGTTGCCCATGTGTAAAGCAATTTAGTTTTCAACAGATCAAGTAATAATCTTTCTCTACGAAATGTTCTTACAAGTGGCAATTTGACATTGGAGACCTGCAAAAGCTTCGACTTTTCCATCTTTCCCTCTAAATCGATCTTAATCCGACTCGGAATTCAGCATCAGAACTGATTCATACATCAACTGAACCAAAATCTTGGCTGGGTTCTCATTGTACTTGACAGAATCCACAAGCAGACGTCAGACTTAGACCAGATTCTGATGTAAAAAAATGGCCAGCTTAATCTAACAATCTGTCTAGGGTTACTGAGACAATGGTTGCTTGTCTGTAATGTGCATAATCAAGTGTCTTAACACCAAGTCTATTTGTCCTCGAAGAGGATGGGATGTATCCCCAGCTATAAACTCTGAAACTCTAGAGTTTATCTCAATCACACTACAACCAACCTCTTTCTTTACCTCCTCCTTCCTCATCAACCTTTTCATCATCTCCACATCTTTCCATCTCTTTCCGGCAGCATACAGATTCCTCAACAATACGTAATTCCCGTCGTTACGTGGCTCCAGTTTGACTGCACTCTCCAATACCCTCTCAGCTCTCTTTAAATCGTTGACGTTGCCACATGCAGATAGGAAAGAACTTAGTATTATCCCGTTGGGCTCGAATGACATATTTCTGATCAGTGCCTCTGCTTCTTCCATGTATCCTGCCCTGCCCAATAGATCCACCATGCAGCCGTAGTGCTCAATTTTGACATTCAGACCAAGTTTTGCCATTGTCCCAAACCACTTCTTTCCTTCCTCAACTAATCCGCCATGGTTACAAGCTGACAGGACTCCAAGCATTGTGACCTCGTCTGGGTTAGCTCCTCTTCTCAGCATCTCCATGAATAAATCCAAAGCTGCACGTGCATGCCCATTCAGAGCATACCCATTTATCATAGCATTCCAAGAAGCTACTTCCTTCTCCAGTATCTGTTCGAAGATTACTTTTGCCTTCTCTATCTCCCCGCATTTTGCATACATATCAACAAGTGCAGTACGCACATTCACCAATCTATCGAGTTTCTTTCTCTTGACGAAATGATGACACCATTCTCCCAAATCTAGAGCACCCAAATCAGATATCGCAGGCAGAACGCTCACAAGGGTTACTTCATCCGGTTCAAGGGAGGTTGTTGTCTGCATTTCCTGAAACAAGCTTAACGCTTCTTGGGGCTGTTTGTTTTTACTGCATCCACCTATCATTGCATTCCAAGAAACCAGGTTCCTCTCTGGCATAGCATCAAACAGTAACCTAGCTGATACTATGTCACCATTAGTGCAGTAACCAGAAATCATAGTTGTCCAAGTGACGACACTTCTATCTGGCATCTCATTGAACAAGCTCCTGGCTGATACCATGTCACCAGATTTGACATAGCCATCGATCAATGCATTATATATCACAACGTCCTTCATCTCAGGCATCTCAGCGAAAAGCTTACTCGCAACTCTCATGTCACCACACTTAGCATACCCACAGATGAGAGCCGTCCAAGAAACCGCACTTCTCTGAGGCATTTCCTCGAACACATTCCTTGCCCAGTTTACCATGCCGAATTTTGCATACATATCGATCATTCCAGTCGAAACGTACATATCCAAGCAGAACCCAGATTTCATAATATGGCCATGCAACTGTCGACCTTCGTCAACGGCCATACTCAAACTGCAGGACTTGGCCAATTTCATGAAAGTGAAATTATCAGGAGCGAAACACGTCTCCCTCCTGAGATCTCTGTAAAGAGCTAAAGAATCCATGAATTGGCGCGTACCCAGATAAGCATCGATCATGGAGTTGCATAGGAAAGTGTCATCTCTCTGGGGCCTTAGATCGAACAGGCGACGTGCGTGGCCGATACCGACGACAGAAGCGACGGTAACCACGAATTTGGTGAGAATTTGAACATTGGTTTCTATGGCGTGCCGCAACATGAAGGCGTGGATCTGAAGAAGAGAAGCTCTGTTGCGGTATCGTTGGATAAGAGACAAGCATTTTCTCTCTGTCGGAAGCCATAGCGGTTGAGTTTCCAGCTGCTGCAGCATCTTCTGCAACTACGATCTAGACGTTCTAGAAAGTTATCAACGGGTCCATAGTCTGGGTTCTGTCGTTATACAGATAACTATCTCTATTGTTGGCAGTACGGAACATGCTTTGGTCCGACAGCGAAAACAGAGATGCAACATAAAATTGTTGAGGGGTGGGTGTGGGGAATAGTTTCGGTTCGGACCGGAATACATGAGTTCTACTTTTTCGGTTTTATAAAATAGATACCAATGTGTTTTTATAATATATTCGGTTCGAATTTCGATTTTTATTAAAAAGATATATTTCTTTTTAAAAAAATTAGTTTTTCAACAAAATTTAAAATTTGGTTCAATTCTGAGAAAATCGGTTTTCTAAGCATAATAATGTTCGGAAATTTAGAACCGTTCGGATCAGAAAAAATATTGTATTTTTCGATTCGGTTCGATTTTTGAAACCGAATCGTTCACCCCTAAAATTTTCCGTGTTGTTTTGGTTGAAGACCGGACAAAATCCAATCTTTATAGACTCTGCAAATCAATCGAAAATCTTGATATGTAAAAGCACCAAAATAAGACAATTCCTCAACCCATGGATCATTTATAACTAAAAAAATGCATCTTATTTGAATAAGAAAAACAACAAGAAACTCCGCTTTTGTCTAATATGGGCTCATTATTATATTAATAGCAATGCATTATACTGGGCCTAGGCCCAAATTAATTACATACAATTATAATTATGGGCTTGATCGTGGGCTTGAAAGAAACATACAATAATTATAGCAAGACCTCCCCGATTTCAGGTGAATGACCTATATAATAGCTTTGGATTTATATTTATATTAATTTTAAATATTTAAATTTTAAAATTTGAATATAAATGACCTATATAATTTATTTATATTTAAAATTGTTTTTTAATTTTAATTTAAAATTTTATAATTTTTATATCGGATACAGATATTCATAAATATAGATGACGTGTTGATGGTTCCGTTATTTTTTTGACGTCGTTATTGATCGTAGAAGTTTGCGCTAAAAATATAAAAGTTTGTGTATTTTATTACCAAAATAAAAGTTTGTGTATTTATTTGCCAAATAAAAAAAAATTTATGTTTTTTTTTGCCACTATTCCAAAAGTTTGTGTATTTTATTACCAAAATAAAAGTTTGTGTATTTATTTGCCAAATATACAAAGTTCATGTTTTATTTTGCCATTACCCCCAATAAATATATATATATATATATATATATATATATATCCAAAGCTACTATAATATAAACCTTTTTATTTATTTTATATTTTTAAAAAAAGTAGATGAAACCCTAAATACGAAAGTGGTGAAATGGGTGGGCGATCGAGTGGGGTCTTCGTGAGAAAGAAACAAAAGAAGAAGAAGAGTAGGGTCATTTTCATTGGTGTTGACGCATCCACATGCTTCATTTCTTACCAATTAGTCGTTCTTCTACACAATTATGATATGTGGACTCTCTCTCTCTCGGCTTTTTTTCTCTCTCCCAACTACGTATTTTTTTAGTTAACTAGTTGAGTACCCGCGCGATGCGCGAGATGATTCTTTATTATATTTTGATTATATTTTTATAAATTTTGTTGATATATAATTTAAAAAATTGAATTAATTAATTTTTTTTAATATGGGATTAAAAAATAATATAAAATTATTGTAAAAACATCAATATTCATTATATAATAAAGAAACGTTGTCTTTGTTTACGTGTTTTATATATTTGTTGTCAATAAACAATTTGTCATATAAATATTTTCCGACGGACATTTTACATATGTCTTAGAATATCAAAGATTGAAATATCAAATTCGTTTGATATAGAGAGTTTTAGAATTTTTTCCAAAGGACTATTTTATGTATATCTAATATTAGTTTAATCTATATTATGTGACTATTTATGTCGATATTGATCATTTCTATAGTGGAATACGTGACTTGTATTCTGTAATGTAGAAAATAGTTTTTCAATTCGATTATTTGTAATTTGTTATGGTATGGTCGATGTATACACTCATATAACAACATCGAAACAAAAATATAATTTTTGTATTTTTTTATGGTGCATCTTTAGCCATTCTAATAGCACGTCTTAAACTACGTCTCTTAGCATATTGTTGTGCAAATTTTTGTTGGATATTTAAATTTAAAGAGTGTTTAAAAAAAATGACTAATATATATATATATATATATATAATATTTATAAACTTTAAACTTAAAAGGTTTTTGAAACATAATTATATATATATATATATATAAAGATATGATAATTTTACTATTTTTTCTTTTGGGGCTATTGTTAG